ACTGTCTAGGAAGTAAGCATACACTCAGTAATGGATGACTCACAGCTGGGGGAATGGGTCAAGTTAGAGGCAATGGGAAAGCAACACAGCAATCTATTAAAACAGTAACCCAGGCTGAGATGGGGTCATCGATTCCATCTGGGATGGGGAGAATATTCTGCTAGCCTGCCATGTGCATTTGTTTCAGACCAGCAGGATATTCTCTTTCAACTGTAATAGTGAAGATTAGCAAATGACCAGCAAGGCTCAAATATACCAGGAAAACCACAGAAATTGGTGAGTCCTCCTGCAAACACAAGACCAGCAGTCAATGCATAGAGAACATGATGCTTCTTCCACCCAACTAAATCAGCAGTTCTCAAAGTGTGGTCCTGGGACTCTAGGGTGGGGATAGGAGGTGGTTGGAGATCCTTTTAGGGGGTCTAAAAGATCAAAACTATTTTCACAATAATCCCAAAGTATTAAAAGTACGTCTTGTTTTATTGAGTTTTGCTTTATTGAGCTTCACAGATACTGCATTTTTTTTTTTTTTTTACAAAGTAGAGGTTTGTGGTAACCCTCCATCAAGCAAGTCCATTGGCACCATTTTTCCAACAGCATTTGCTCACTTCATGTCTCTGTGCCACATTTTGGTAATTCTTGCAATATTTCAAACTTTTTCATTATTATATACTAGAGGCCCGATGCACGAAGATTCATGCAAGAATAGGCCTTCCTTCCAGCACCGCCTTTGTGCCGGCCCGAGTTGCCTTTCCACCTTCGCTCAGGCCAGAGCCGCCTTCCACCTCTTGCCTTGTTGCATCAATTTGCATATTCCCTCCTTGTTGGCTATGGGCACTGCCATCTTTATCACAAAGTGATGATTAATCTGCATATTACTCTTTTATTAGATAGGATGACATGGTGATCTTTGATCAGTGATCTTTGCTGTAACTAGGGCAAGACCCTCCACCAGCAAAAAAGATTATAATTTGCTAAAGGCTCAGATGATGGATAGCATTTTTTAGCAATAAAGTACTTTTAAATTAAGGTATGTACATTGTTTTTTTAGACATAATGCTGCTACATACTTAAACTATAGTACAGTGTAAATATAACTTTTATATGTGCTAGGAAACCAAAATATTCTCGTGACTCGCTTTATTGCAATATTCACTTTACTACAAACCCGCGATCTCTGAGGTTTGCCTATTTTGCCTTTTTCACTTTCATTCTCTCAGGAGTGAACACTGGAGTTTTCAACAGGGCTACACAAGACGTGATTATATCATTGCCCTGATGCCTAATAAAATGTGTGCTTGTGTATTCTAGAATTTTCTAGGATAAGCACTTTGGGGTGTACTCATAATTGAAGAGTGCAAAGGGTCCCTGAGATTAAAAACTTTGAGAACCACTATACTAAATAATTCTGTCCCTGCAACAATGAAAAGGAGAACACTAATGGGCTTACTAGGGAAATAGCACACTCCACTCAATGTGATATTTGGCAGAAAGATTACAGTGCAAGGTAGAGGTTGCATAAAGAGAACTTTCAAATGAATCTGAAATGCAGCCAAATGAAGAGAAGCATTTTTGGGTTATGCAATCAAAATGACAATTGCATATATGGGAAAATATATTTGAATGTTTCTGATCCCAACCGGAAAGTTTCATTCAAATATCTTCTAGCAATTTTCATCTTAATTGCACCTTGCTGGTCTAGAGAATTATAAAAGACACTGCACCAGTAAGAATTAAAAAATTCAAGGTTAAAACAAAATGTAGTTTCCTAACCAATTTTAAAATGTTCAGATTTGCCCTAACCGGTTTGGCTCAGTGGATAGAGCGTCGGCCTGCGGACTCAAGGGTCCCGGGTTCGGTTCCGGTCAAGGGCATGTACCTTGGTTGCGGGCACATCCCAGTAGGGGGTGTGCAGGAGGCAGCTGATCGATGTTTCTAACTCTCTATCCCTCTCCCTTCCTCTCTGTAAAAAAATCAATAAAATATTTTTTAAAAAATAAATAAATAAAATGTTCAGATTTAAAAACTAAAATAGTATATAAATTTTATCTGAATAGACAACACTGTTAAGTCTTTAAAATAAAATTTTAAAACCAGTTTATGAAATGGAACACTAGAGCATCTGTGGTACCTAAGATGTGGTACATAACCTGCAGAAACTCACTGCTCTAAATTGACAGAAGTACTAGTATACCTACCAAGTGGGCAAAGGCAATGCTGGCACTCCAAGAAGTAAATTGGATTGCTTAAATTTCCAGAGTTATCAACCCAGGGCACAGCTTCCTCATAATGTATCCTTAGATTCCAGGCAATAAGAGTGTAATAAAGATTACATCAACCATCTAGTATCTCATGTTTATTGAGCACCTAGAGTATGGCAGGTACTGTGTTAGGAATTAGAAACAGAAACAAACAAGACACAGTCCACCTCCTCAAAGGACACAGAATCTAATGCAGGAAGATCACTGAGTAAAGAAATAAAACAAATGGCAAAGATGTTAAAGACTGATCACATTCATTATGGGCAAGAAAATAGGGAAAGAGACCTGCTGATGGGAGAATAAAAGAACACAGTGGGGAATTTGGCAGTAGTTATCCAAGTTTAAAATGTACATACCCTTCAACCTGGGAATTCAACATTTATCCTATAGAAATACATTTTATACTAAGGCACATGTATACAAAGGTTCACTACAGCACTGTTCATAAAAGCCAATATTTAAAATAACCAAATGTCTGTAATAGAAAAATAATAAGTAAATCATTGTTATCTATAAACCATGAAATACTATAACCAGTCACAAAAAATAAGATAAGTATGCATATATGAACATGAAAAGATCTCCTGTTATGTAATAAAAAAAATCCAGGTGCAGAATATGTACAGTATAATTTAGGTTAAAAAAAAATTTGATATTTACATATATATGTAAATAAGTATATGAAAAATAATCTGAAAGGATATTCACCAAAATGTTCACAGGGCCATCTCTAGGTAGGGGAATGGAAGAGGGGGTCAGTGCAGTGAAGGAGGATGTGCATTTTTTACGCTACGTATGCACTGTTGTTATTTTTTACAATGACAATCAGTTAATGTGTTACTTGTATAATCAGACACACACACACAGTGCAGAATGACAAGTGCTACTGTATGGTGAAGGTCAGCACAAAACCCGACAGGACTCTCGTGGTGGGAAAGCTGAGCTGCAATCTTACTGCAAAGAGGGCTATGGTCCTAGGTCCAGTAACCAGGTTCTTCCCTCTCTACCCTCATCTAAAGCACATTAGCCTTACCAGGTTGCCATGAGGACTTGATGACCTCTGACACCTCTGTGCCTTTGTTCATGCTAGTCACACTGCTTGGCATGCCTTTCCTGCCTATTAAAATCAAAATCATTCTACAAGGCCAGCTCAAATACCACCTCTTCTGTGAAGACCTTAATAGGCCCCAACTTGGTATTCACTGTTTCTTCCTCTATGCTCCCACAACACTCTGTTTGTATCTCTTTTAAGGTATGTTTCCTTCTACTATGCATTTATAGCGAATGTGCCTAATAACCTATAAACTTGAGTGCAAAGACTATACTATCCAACTCTTAGTTCCCTACAGGCCTTGGACATACTAAGATTCATTAAAAGTATACGTCCTAGGAGGGAAACAGGGAGGGATGGAGAGAGAACATTAAAATCTGTATAAATATGAAAATCCCTTTAATTAGGACTCAAGACTGACTGAGAGATACCAGACTCCTCATTACAGTACTTCACAGTGCACCGAGGAGCCAGTATAGTAACTATCATATTAACTATCATTTCATAAGTATGTACTAAATATCAGGTATTGATCCACTCACTTCCAATTATTTTCATTTAATCTTCACAATTCTGTAAAGGGAGTATTATTTCTTTATACAGATAAGACACCTGAGGCTAAAAGAGGAAAAGTGACTTATTCAAGGTCATGTGGGAGTCACATCCATATTTGCCTAACCCCAAAGCCTTTGACATTTTCTCAACAGTAAAGCTATCACTAATAGCAGCCAAGGTCAGTTTTCTTTGGGACTTGAGAAGAATAATGAAGAAAAGAGTTAACATAATAGGCCTGATCTTTAGAAGGGCCTGGTTCTAGGCTGGCATCTGGGGATTTGGCTTTTGAAAAGTTCCCTATATGATAAGGTTGTTTTGCCCACCTTTCCTTCTGAGAGTCTGGAATTCTGGTAGTTGTTGCTGGCAGAGAATGGCTACATGACCTGTCCTCATTAAATACTCTAGACCAGCCGTGGGCAAACTATGGCCCGCGGGCCGGATCCGGCCCGTTTGAAATGAATAAAACTAAAAAAAAAAAAAAGACCGTACCCTTTTATGTAATGATGTTTACTTTGAATTTATATTAGTTCACACAAACACTCCATCCATGCTTTTGTTCCGGCCCTCCGGTCCAGTTTAAGAACCCATTGTGGCCCTCGAGTCAAAAAGTTTGCCCACCCCTGCTCTAGACTCAGAATCTCACATGGGCTTGTCTGGAGAGAGACACTGCATGCATGTTTTCACTGCTGGAGAAAGGATCATGTCCACCTGACCCCTCTCAGTGGGAGGGAGAAAGCATAGGAAGTCTATACATTAGTCTCTTCAGACTCTGCCTCATGTATCTTTTCCCCTTGCTGATCTGGTTGTATACCCTCAATACCACTGACTCTGAGTCCCGTGAGTCCTTCTAGTGATTTTCCAAACATGTGGTCGTCCTCGGACTCCTAAGGACGACAAAAGCAGACAAAACAAGCAAAAAACAAAACAAAACAAAAATGGCAAACAAAACACCTCAGAAGAGGAAGGGTATCAGCAAAACAGAGCCTTACTTCTCTGGATTGTCTGGAAACTTGATCCGCAACTCTTGGTTTTTGTATGATCTTTTTTCAAATGTAAGGATCATTTTCTTCACTGAGCTTTCATCCAATGGTTCCTCCTGGTATAAAGGGACAAATGCAACAATTCTTATTCACTAATCATTACTTCTTTCATTGGTTCTTACATGCTATTCTGCCACTCACCTTCTGGGTTAAATGTACAGAAAACATTTTATCTCCCCCACTAGAATGAGGATTAAGGGTCTACATCACATGCTACTTTGTATCACTCTGTGTGTCTCACATCTAGCATAGAAAGTTTAGTTTAAGATTTAGTCAACAAATATTTCTTGAGCATATCCTATGACTTGGAGTAAGCAACCATATTAGTTAATATTTATCTTGTCCTCCTTTGTTGTACAGGTAAGATAACACTCAGTGCTTTCAAAGAACTTGTTCAGTGACAGTGGCCCTCAATCTTTTCCCTATACAAGGAAGGGGTCGGCAAACCAGCCAAATCCAACTCTCTGCCTATTTTTGTATAGACCTTAAGAAGGGCTGTTAATTAGCAATAGTCACAGTTTTTATTTCTTTCACATTACTATAACTGCTTCCTACTGGCTGCTGAGATGGGAATCAGACAGGTTCTTGGAATCCAGATATAACATCAAAAATTAGAGAAGCTCAGAAGTAACATTTAAAAACTAGTAGACTACACAGTGTTTTTCTTACTTCATACACTAGAGAGGTTTGAAGGTTTTCTTACCTTTATATCTACAAAGGTATATACATTTTTTTAAATGGAATCGTTTTCCCCAAGAAATCTACACTAAAATTTCAGAAATGTAGTCTCCTCAGTTTATTTTCCAGTTTAATGTAATGTGCTGCAATACACTCTGCCTAACACTCTCCCAACTTGTAGCTTCATAGCTTTGTAGTCATTGACCATAACTCACACCTAAAGGTAAAGAAATTGCTATTAAGAGACCCTGAAATAGATCCTTTTGAAAAGCCCTGAATCATCCAATAATTTTGTAAGTACACTAAAAAATGCTAGCTATTATTTTGTTAAATTTGATATGCATATATTATGTTTTAAGTGGAAGATACCTCTAATTTCATTTTGGACATGACACATTTTTTATCAATGACTCTTGGACCCTCAGGTAGTCTATTGGACCCCCAGCCCCTCCCCAGTGTCTACTGCTTAAAGAGAAGTTCCCAGACATGGTAAAAACAGAAGTTAGTGCCCTGGCTCAGTTGGCACTAAGAGCCTAGCTTCACTATTTACTAGCCACAATGCAATGCTACTTTGCTGACTATAATCCTTAAATGCTCACCAAGTCTACCTCTTGTCTTTCCTGAATTCATCCACTTGGCATCCTATCTATAATAATAAAAGCGTAATATGCTAATTAGACCAGACAGCCAAACGACCTTCTGGACATCATTCTGGACGTCCTTCCAGACGAAGCTGCTTCGGCGGGAGCCGAGGCAAGGCGGTTAAGGGTGATCAAGCAGGCAGGTGAGTGATTAGGGGTGATCAGGCAAGCAGGTAGAGGCAGTTAGGAGCGATCAGACAGGCAGGCAGAGGCGGTTGGAGCGGTCAGGCAGGCAGAGTGGTTAGGAGCAATCAGGCAGGCAGGTGAGTGGTTAGGGGTGATCAGGCAGGCAGGCAGAGTGGTTAGGGGTGATCAGGCAGGCAAACAAGTGGTTAGGGGAAATCAGGCAGGCAGGCGAGCAGTTAAGGGCAATCAGGCAGGCAGGCAGGTGAGCGGTTAGGAGCCAGCAGACCCGATTGCGAGAGGGTGCAGAGTGGGCTGAGGGATGCCCACTCCACTCCCCCCATGCACGAATTTTGTACACTGGGCCTCTAGTCCTATATAATAAAAGCCTGATATGCTAAGTGTCCAGTCAGCTGTTCAACCAATCGAAGTGCAATATGCTAATAATATGCTAAAGCCGCTCAACCACTCACTATGACGTACACTAACCACCAGGAGGCAGTTGACCACTCGCTATGACATGCACTGACCACCAGGGGGCATACGCTCCAACCGGTAGGTTAACTTGCCGCTGGAGTTCTGCCAATTGGAACTAAGAGAGATGGGCCAGACATGCCCTGGAGCCCTCCCACGGTCCCTCCCGGGCTGGCCAAACTCCCGGGTCCCTCCCCAGACCCGATCATGCACTGGTGGGGTCCTTCGGCTTGGCTTGCCCCCTCTTGTAATCCGGAACCCCTCGGGGGATGTCGGAGAGCTGGCTTTGGCCAAATCCCACAGGCCAGGCCGAGGGACCCCACTGGTGTACAAATTCGTGTACCGGGCCTCTAGATTAGAATAAAATTTCAATCCTTTACGTGACATACAGGATAGGGCAAAAGTAGGTTTACAGTTGTGAGTATGCAAAACATTTTATTCTTGTATTATTATTTGTTAGTTATTTTCCATGCAAACAACTGTAAGCCTACTTTTGTCTCACCCTCTACGTAAGGAAGGTCTGGCATGATCTCGCCCAGAAAATCTGTTCACCCAAAACTAGGGAATATAGCCCTGTTGTGAGACCATGTCTATTTGTTCAATGCAGACTCTCTAGTTCCTTTTATAGTGCCTGGCACACAGCAGGCATCCAGTGAAGATCTGTTGAAGGAAGAAAGAAAAGAAGAGAGATGTATCTTCTAAGGTCAGAGAGATGTTCTAAAGAAATGAGGTACATAAAATTGTTTTATAAACTATATGACACTATCTTAATGTAAGCTAGTTTTTTCTATTAGTAATAAGCATGATGTACCTAACATACCACTAGGATTTAACTAAAATAATCCAAATTTCTAGGAAAGAGTTAAATCAAGCAAACTCAACATCCACTACTCTTCTTTCCCTTGGCTAACATCTTGCCTGCCCTGTAGGAAAAAAAACCTAGTAGTGTTAATACAGCTCTCATAGGATTCCCAGCCTTAGCCTCTTCAAGGTTTGGCCTTCCCTCCTTTAATTTCTCTCCAACACTAGAGGAAACTGAATTATCAGTCTTAGTCATCGGCTACAGCAGTACCTCCAATAGCTCAACGTCAGGAACCAGAGGGAGACTTCAGAAAGATGAATGCTGGTGATGTAGCACAAAAAGGACAATAATATTTTACAAGTTCACGTGACTTTACGGGGCAAACATCACTTGCTTTTCATCAAATGGGACTTTGGTGGCAGTGAGAAAATAACTCTTGAACTTGTAGCCTTCTATGTGTCATTTTTACAAAACGATCTCTTTTTCCCTGTCCCTTAACAGAAGGGCTGGTCCCACATTACATTTCTGTCTCTCAGGCTAGAAACCACTTACCCATGACAGCTACTATCCTAATCCTCCAGTACAAGCCTTGCCCTACACAGGAATTACACCTGCCAATTAACTGCTGCTGCAGCGCTCACAGATTGAGCAGAAGCTAGTAAGAAAGGAGGGAGAGAGGGAAGTGATGGAGGGATGGAAGAAGGAAGAGAGGGAGAGAGGGAGGGATGGAAGAAGGAAGAGAGGGAGGGATGGAGGAATGGAGGAAAGGAGGGAAGGAGGGATGGAGGGATGGAGGAATGGAGGGATGGAGGGAAAGAGGGAGGATGTGCTATACACACTGACTGTCTAAAAGCCTGGTAGGGCTGCTGCCCTCAGAGAGGAAATTTGGGACTGTTTCCCACCACAGATTTCCAAAGTGTCACCATCTTTTAGGGGCAGACCCCTAAATTAGCTCTGATATAAATGCTAATGAGAGTTATTGTCATAACACAGTAAGGACCTTTGTGAAATATGAATCAATTTTTTTCCCTCTTAGATTCACACTCCAGCTTCATTTTTTAAATCCAAACTTAGCATCATGTCTTTGAGGGAACCAAAAACCAGCTGGCTCTTAAGAATCTATTTCCATAATTCATATTGAACAAAATGCCAGAATGAAATAACATACAAGTTAACACTTAAGGATTTAAAAAGACACAAAGGCATGGTCATTTCATTTTTAATCGCTGATATTTTACCTCTACCCTTTTCAGCTTGGTTCATTTATTCATTCAATAAATATTTATTAAGGGTCTACCAAGAGCTAGGCATTGCTCTTGAGTGCTCTGAACCGTGAACA